TGGACCTATTTTATGTGTTTTGCATCAGTGAAACAAACTTTATTTTATAATCCTTGGTGGATTTGGGAGGTGATATTTAATTAGATATCTAGAGCATTTGCTAGAAAGGGTAAAGCCAGCCTGCTAGTGAGATGGAGATGCAGAAAATCTCTTCTACAATGTATTTGCAGCCCTATGGGCCATTATTAGTGAGAAATCCTATATCCCTGTTATTATTTCATCAATTCAATTTGAACCACACTTTGGCTTCTGTCTGTTCTATTCTACATAATCTACTTTTTCAATAAATCTGCTTCAGTCTGCAGTACCCTCCCAAAGTAAAATTAATCCAGATAGATGATGATAAGCCATATTTTAGTCTATAGGATACCTTTTCCATTTCTCTCTTTTTGATCCTTCTTACAGTCAAACCTCTTGTTCAATCACCCTGCCAGGCAGTAAAAAAAATAAAAGGGGGAAGAGATGGCCTTTTAGCCTAGGTGAGGAGAAACAGCTCTGTCACAAAGAAATTCAATTGAATATTTTCTGCCAGGACACCGTATGCCAATTGCTTGACTTAGGGAAAATGGAAGAAGGAATTAGTGAGAGCCTGCAGTGCAGATTTCAGAGGTGTTTTTGTTCTTCTCACTGCTCCCTCTTTATCTTTTCTCCTGGCAGGGCTTTCTCCATCACACTATGACAATTTTTTGGCACTGGTGTTGAATACAGATGCAGGCAAGTCCTGATGCAGTCGTGAAGCCTCTGGGTTCCTGGGTGATAGTTCTGGGCACTGCACAGATTCAGAGTGTGCCTTGTGTGACTTCACCCCCCCAGCTGAACCTGTGCCCAGGTAGATTGGGAAGAGCTGCAGTGTCTACCTTGTGTTTCAGTGGCCAGACCATGCACATTTCTGTGGATCCCTCAGTTTTCTGCAAGTCTGCTTTTTGTGGTGTTGTACTACAAACAGACAGAAAGAGTGAAACAGGTTAATAGCTCATGGAACACACACAGGATGTATTTATTTATACTGGACAGGTAACAGAGCATGGTGTCAGTCCTGATGCAGCAAAAGCAACCCCTAAATTCTCACCTTCTAGACATTTTTCTTTGGTCTGTATGAAGAAAATAAGCATTTTTTTCTTGGTTTACATCCTTCTTTTGTGTATTTGCCTTGCAGGTTTAGCAGTGTAAGATTAACACATTGATACCTCTTGCCCACCTGTACAAATTTCAGAAGGATTTCTGCTCTCACTTGCTTCCTCTCTGTTTTTACCTTTCCTGGTGCTTTCTTTTGTCTCCTGTGCAATATAAAATTGGTGCCATGAATATTGTGAAGTGTTGAAGGCCTGAGTATGGACAATTCTGACAAATGTTAATAAGGGTGGAGTCAAACTGGATAAAGAACTTTAGTCTAAAGTTTTTTTTTCCAGATTGAGCATCTTTGTTGCTGAGTGGAGAAACCTCCACTGCCTGTTAGTTTCAAAACAAACAGACAACCAAAAAGCCTCCCCTCACCTCTCCCCACCCCCAGAAAAATTATTTCTGGAGATATTTGTGTATTATTCATGATAATAATAATAATATCTGTATATTTATGTATTATTCACAATAATAATAATTCCTTCTGTTAAGAACAGAAGGAGGTCTTCTTGTAAAAGCTGGGGAACATTCAGCAGGCAAGAAAAATCAGTTTGAGTGTGGAATGAGAGCATATTAAGGAGTTATTACCTACATAATTTGGGTACATAAATTCACAATTTCTCCAAATGGTAATTTTACAGTTTCTCAAGTAATAGTCAGGAAAACAGAATCTCTTCTCAATTCAGCTAATTAAAAAAAATCACATGTATTTACAGAAATAATTCCAGTTTTAAGACAATGTGTGGCAAAATTTGATATTTTAATTTTTTTTTAATTTAAAAACAGCAAAATTGATCTCTAAAGCATGTCTTGGTATTTACTGTTTTTCATTAAATCACCAGAAGTGCTGTGGGATTTTATTTGTGATTTAAAATGCATTGGTTGAAAGTTGGCATATAAATTGAAGGTATAAGACAGTACACAAGGGATGGTGAATTTAGTACCTTTAGATGGTGAAACATTTTGTTCACTTAATTAGTTAAGGAAGGATAAGTTAAGTTAGAAAAATGAGTGTAGAAAATCAGAAGTGAATTTTAGTGCAAGTGTCCATCATAAATAAGCAAGAGTAAGCCAGATTTGGGGTTTTAAGAGATTTTAGCCTGCATTTTCGATCTCCATTTAATTGATTCATAAATCAATTAATTACTGTCACAAGACCCGAGGGCAGCAGGAAATTGGGTTCAAATTAAAAAGAAAAGGAGGCAATTTGTTTTAAGATTGAAAGTTGAATGTTCAATCGAAGTTTAATCAGAAGTGACCCATTATTTGAAAAGTAGAACATCAATGTCGTTCTAATTTCACAGAATGCTTCATTAAATGAGTATTGAAAATACCAGGTTAACTGATCATTCCAAGAGGAACACGAGACAAAGGAAACTCATTTCCAAATACGTGTCATGCTTGTTTGTTTCTCTTCTGAAGAGTTCATAGAGATACCAAATAATTTCATTGGGAATTCAAGGATTATTGGGGTGATCCTTTGTAGATTGTAAAGTTTGTTTGATAAAAGCATAACTTCATATCAGAAGATAAAATCTTCTTAATCCGTTTGGATAGCCATGAACTTAAAGAAAAATTAACAGAATGTGATGCAAGCCAAAGGTGAAAATTTTCAAAGCACTAGTGGAAGTTGAGCCTCCTAAATTTTTGGATGTTTCACAGTGGTCTGACCTTGAAAAGGTTTTTCCATGATTAGATACCATCTCCAGAGCATTCACAATGCATTGAAGACTCTGCCCCCTGAAGAAGGTGAGGGTGATGCTGCTGCCTGGCTGGGGCAGAGGTGATGATTTGTGTTTAGGAGGTGAGTGTGGGAGAGAATGAGGACAACAACTGCAGCTGCAGCTCCTACTGTGGCTGAAAAGCATAATAGAATAATGCATAAAGGAATTTGGTTTAATACTTTTGGATTAGCAAGTCTTTCTCTTGGTGTGCATTTACTAGAAATTTGCTTAGCGAATTGCTGTTCAAAAAAAGCCAAAATGCAACACTCAGTTGTTGTGAGCTTGGTGAAACAATGACAGAGAAGTGTGATTCAGGTTCCAGCTCATGGAAAGTGTTGCTCTTGCTCTTAAATGCTGAGAGGTGCTCTTGGAACATCATCTGGACCTTCTGTCTGCCATGTGCTCCCTGGGCTTGTGTTCGTTGGGAAGCTCATGCAGCTTTCTCTAGTGAGCACAGTACTTGAAAAACAGCAAAAGGCCAAGGAAACAAAGCTGGCCTTTCTAGTTGGTCTTTATAGAGGAGCTTGTTATGAGGGGGAAAAAAAGGAAAAAAAGCAGTCACAGCTGTTTTAAACATTTGGTTTTACAAGTGCACAGCAGGATGATTTCAGATGTCAGCAAGTTATTTCAAACAGCAATTCTCTTCAAGATCTTTGCAAGCAGGGACTTGATTCCTTCATGAGCAAAACAACTCGTCACTCGTGATGTCCAGGTTGTTTTGGTTCATTTGTTGATCGTTGCCTGTGTAAGCTGAGATCTTCCAAAGGCAGAGGCTGCTGGTTCACCTGGCCCAGGTGGGCTCTGGAGTGGGGTGAGCAGTGCATCCCTGCTTTCCAGGGAGGATCCACCAAACTTTAGATTCTAAAGATATTTGTCTGGATGGAGCAATAATCTGACCTTGTGTAGCAAATTTAATTTGGTAATCAGTCCCTTCCCTGACTCTCAGTGAGATACTCAGGAGTGAATATAAATGATGCAACTCTCTTTAAGTTATTGATTGCATTTATGTGACTGATGATGAGCAGCACTGGCCCCACCACAGCAGAATGAGGGTGTTCCTCAGCAGCCCCCCAGTCAAGTGGCACAGCTCTGTAAACTGCTGTGCAAACTTGAAACAAAGATGAATAGTTATGAGTTAATGCTGAAGTATGTATTTAATCTTTGTAATAAATGACTGTGCATCTTCTGCCAGAGATCTAAAAAAAAAATTCTGAAAGAAAAAATGACTTCATTTATTTTTGTGATGTTTCTGTGACAAGTTATGCAACACACAGATGCATCACTGGTCACAAAAATTTATATGATGCAATGCTAATTATATATATAATTTTTTTTAAGAAAGTGGTGGGAGTTTGCTACCAGAAATAATCTCCTAGAAATGCATGGAAACACTGATAGAATATTGATCACGAAGGCATTAATTTATTGAAAAATTCAACAAGCAAATTTACCAGCAATGCAATGGAATTCCTGCTTTAGGCAACTGGGCACCTTTGAGGCTTAGAGGTTTGTTTCATATTGGTTTGCCTTTTTTTCCAGTCCACTCCTTGTTATTGGTTTCTTGTTTTCTTGTGACTACAAATGTGCAAATAATGTCTTTTTTTTAGAGTACAAGAAGAGATGAACATTCTGTACAAACAATATATTAGATTGTTTGGTATTAATAGACTGGTTAATGTAAAGTATATAATTTTAGGGAGTTGACAAAAAGTCCCTTATTGTGTAGATGGACTCACTGGATAGAGAAGTAGGATGGTTGGAGAAGATAAAAGAGTATTCCCTCATTATTGTGGTTACATTTGTCCTGAAGACTTAAATCATAACTTAGTTAATAAGGTGTCTGATTGCTACTAAGCTCAGAATAAAGCTGTGTGGATATATTTTTTTTTTCTCCTGGTAGGCAAAATTTTTAGCTGCTGTGGGAAGCATAATTACTGAGACAACTGCCATTCCAGAAATAAAGTCATAAGACTTAGTGTTTCCTTGCCTTTTTCAGAGGCTTGGAATCAGTCAGTGAGATCAGTGAAATAAGTGTCATAATCATCAAAATTTAATAAAGATTGGAAAGATTTCTCAATCTATCAGAAAAATTCAATAACCTATTGAAAGACGAAATCAATGTGGAATCCTAAAACGCCCCTTTCTTCTTTCTCACAGAATTCCAGCTTTCTCTCTGAAGCTCTTTTTCCTGTACCTGCAACAAAAACTGAAGAGCTGGATCCCTCCTTCAGCCTGCACGAGACCATTGCAAAGGTAAGAGAAATGGAGATCTCATTTATACATAATTTCCTCTTAAATTTGCTAATAATTTTTAAATAAATTTCTATTTCCCTGTTAAACCTTTCAATATAGTTAGAAATTTTGAAGTTGTTTTCACTGGGATCCACGTTGGGAATATTCTTTCCATTGGTCACCTTGTGTGATCAAAGCAGTTCCCCGTGCAAATGCTTCATTTGAAACTATAACTTTTTATTCTTATTTTTTTCACTGAATATCACTCACAATCTGCTTTGCTTGCACTCAGGCTGAAAGAAAAGCTTGTGTTGATTTGAAGCCCTTCATCACCATTAGGGAAATAGGATTTTAGTGTTTCCAAGGAGGTGACAGGCAGGAAGCAAATGGAATGAAAAGTATGCAAGTGTAATGAAGAGACTGCTGGACTGTTGGTAAATAATTCACATTTTGACCACAGATAAGGTGCAGCACAAGAATGTTCACTTGTGGCATTTTCTAACAGGACCATACTGGTCTGTTCCTTTGAAGCATGGAAGGGATATAGATTCCCATTTACCTGTGTTTACTCCCATTAATTTTCTAATATAGGGAATGCTCTTTCAAATTGGCAGTGCAGTGATATCCATAACTCTGGTCGTTTTTTTCTCTGTAATCTTTCTACAAATGAAAATCTGTGTTTTGTTGCATGCTACCTCTGCCAATTTTATTTTAATCTTCCTCCATGGTGTCTGCAAATGAGCTTGGGTTTGTTTGTTTGTTTTTGTTTTGGGGCTTTTTGTTTGTTTTCCTTGGGGGTTTTTTGCATGCCAAGATAACACAGTGTATCTAAATTAACATGAAGGTTTCAAACTCTTAAAATCCCAAAGATTTTTGGGATTTTAAAGATTTTGAATCAGTAGAATAGCACTGTGAACAGAATGTCTGTGTGGCAGAGTTTTATCAGAGGCATTTCTAACAGCATATTATTCCTGGTGTAGATATTTCAACAGAGTACATTCATATTCCTGTGTTATTCCTACTGTATTGAGCCCTTTTGGGAATCAGATCATTCTGGAAAAAGTTGTGCCTGGGCATGCCAATAGCTTCTGCATTGAGGTATCTCTACATCTCTGCATTCCATTGAGGTATTTTCTGTTTTCATTTAGAAATTGCCTCCGTGTGGAGACAGAGGATTTGGCAGAATTGTTTGAGCAGCAGAGACACAATATTACTCCAGTCAGAGTCACAGCACCTAAAGTGTTAAAGAGTTTGTTTGGTGTGTGCAGAACTCATCTCATTGAGCAAACAGAAGTCTGATGCATCTGAAAATATCTCATATCCTAGAAAACCCTTTGTCCTTGCAAGGCCCAGGCAGATACATGGCAGCCTTCCCCCACGTCACTGTGTGGAGTGCAGTCTGGAAATTTCTCCTGTATGCTCTGATTTTCATCACTAAAATGTTGCACCAAAATTTGGAGTGTCCGTTTTCACAGGTAATTTCTCCAGCTTTCTTCAGTGATGTATTCTGTCCAATATGATTTTTAAAATTCCTCTCTTCAGTTGCACGTGCCAGACTTTGCCATCACTTCTCAGTCTCTTCATCAAAGGCACAAGTTCTGCACAGACCAGCAGAACTCTCACGTCTCTTTGGAGGTGAATTACATTATGATTTTGTTCTTTTAAAAATGAATTATTCAAGCCCCCAGTTAACAAGCAGGAATGTGGACTGGGGTAGGTGACAGATGCTGGGTGTGGTTAACAAAGCAGAAGAACAGGTCTCAGTGTGTGAAGTGAGGACCAAGGTGGGGGCCTGATCAATATCCACATTTCAGTCTACTCTTGATACTGAATTTTTACATGTGGAGTTTGACCTTGTTGTGAATCTGTCAGAAATGTCTGGGCTACCATTTGTGTGCCCTGCCACACATGAAAAAATGGATTTTGGGTTGAGAAATTCCACCATGACTTGGGGCATCTCTTAATTTTTCTCTGTCCTCCCACACTGGCAGCAATTCCAGTTTTTTTTCAGAGCTCTCATCTGCCCCAAGGTGCATAGGTGCACTGTAATGTGCCAGCTGCTCTAGTCACTCCCAAAGTTAAATAATTTGCCTTTTTTTCTCACCAACATCTCATATACTGGCTCTGAGAACCTTACTGGTATTTATGGTTTGATGGTATTTGAGATGTTCAAAGCACAACTCTACTGTCTGTGGTGACACTGTGAATACAAACAAAACCCAAACTTTGTGTTTTCCTGCAAAGCAGCACAGGCACCCATATTTCACAGGAATGGTTTGATTTAGCACATATTCTCTTAAGCACACAAGTGAGACTCTTTGTTTTACCTTTAGCCTTTGTGCATGAAAGAACATATAATCCAGTTCAAGCAGAGGGTAAATACAAACCTGCTGAAAACTCCTTCTACCAATGGGTGTTTTATTCTGTGGCTTTTATTGTCAGCAGCAATAAAAGCAAGAGCAAATCTGGTGATATAACCTGATACAGTAACTTTGTGATTCTAACTAGTAATTAATTCTGTTAATTGTGGTGAATAGGAAAGTAACAACATTCAAAAGGAGAAAAAGAAAGCTGTCTGGGGATTTTCTCAGCATTAGATATGAGAGAAGTGACTTTTCTGCTAAAGACATGAGGTTTTCTGACAGACAGTCACACTGTGTTTGCCAGACAGCATATTCTGTATCTGCTCCAGCCTAGTTAGGGAGATATGCTTGGAATTTTTCAGTAGTTCTTTGTTCCTAAAAGCAAGTAGCCTCAAGGACTCTTGCACTTTATACTTGAACTCTGATGGATAAAGACTAGGTAATAAAAATAAGCTGAAATTGCAGAACCCCTGGTAAAAATTTGATGAACCAGCTGTACCATGCAACACAGCTCTACTTGGTTAAGTCAGGTATTAAGAAACAACTCTATGGCCCTATCCTCTGAAATTTTCCATATCTTTTCTGCTGATATGCTAATATGCTTCCTTCAAAAATGGAAGAATTATTACAGGACAGAACTAATTACATTTCCTCCTGTGACATACATTCATGAGGTTGTGGGAAGATGTCAAGACTCTGTTATTACAAGATTTTTTCTGAGCTTTTTTTTTTTTTTTTTGGGGTCACTGGGATGTAATGCTTTCAGCTTAGAGAACACTCACAACTATGAAAATATCAGAACAACCAGGAGCTGTGGTTTCAGTGAATAAGAGAAAAATCAACAAAAAAATATAGCAGCCATTAGTAGCATGGCATGTGGAGAAACCATCCCCGTGGATTGTTTGTGAACATTCTTACCTGTTCAGTTCTCTGACTGAAAACAGAAAATTGTTTCTACATTCCTTAAATATTTTTGATATTGCAACAAGACTGTATGTTCTTTAAAAAAGTTAGCATTGGCTTCTGTCAAAATGTTTGTTGCTCTTCGAAACCATTGGTTCCTGAAGTCCTCTGTTAGACCTAAATTGTACTTGGCTACTCTCAAGCTTTGTCTGCAAATGTCAGTAAAAGGAAAAAAAAGCATTGCATCATTTTTCAAACTAGAGTCAAAGTGAAGGAAGCAAATGTGTCAGCTCTGTCTGATCCAATCAAACCACAGGATAAACACATAAGCTGATGCATAATGTATCATCCTAAATCTTAGGATGGGAAGCCAAGATTGATGCTGTTTGTACATCTCGTGGAACACCCTTTTTACTGCAAATTACAGCAATCTGAATAAGCAAAAGAGGATAGGTAGGAGTGAGAGGAAGCATTGTTTAATCCCTATTTTAGATCCGAGAAAATAAAATAGTATGAGTCAAAAGTGGTACTTACAGTAACTGAGTAACTACTTCATTTCCTCACCTGAATACAGAATGAACTTGAAAAATCTGATTTGTTTGACACTGTAGACAAAGACTGGAACATTTCAAAGCTGGAGCAAGATTTCTGAAGGTGCAATATGACAAATATTTGGGATTTGCTGAAATTTCAGCTGCTGGCTGTGACCAGCTGAACATTTTTTCTTCTCTGTGCTGAGGCCACATGTGTGCCTGTGTTAATGGGAGTCACCTGCCTTGGAAAGAAGATCCATTTCCCACAGCAATTCCTTCCTTTGCCATGCCTTGTTTTGGTTTAGATCTGACTGCAGCTCTATCTGCATTGGTGACAGGCTCTCAGCAAAGATGTCTGTGACAGGTGTCTTATTTTTTTGTGGAGGTTTTGTCTCCTGGTTGGTGATCATGACTGTACAAAGAAGCTACTGTATATTTATTGCACTAGTCAAAAGATTGTTTTCAGTTTGCTTTTTACTGTGTAATGAGAAAAATCTATTGTACATCCTTTGCTTTTATTTCAAAAATTTAAGTTGCTATAAGGGATGTCAAACAGTTGGACAAGCGCATGCATTTTTTAAGGAAAGTCAATACATATGTTTATAGAATCAGGTAATAATTTGATTTGTATTCAACCACTGAAATCCAACAAGTTTAAATCTGAACAAACCAAAAAAAACCCAAATCTGAAGCTTACTTCTCTAATAGGTAGGAATATGCCTGAGGCTGTTTGAATATTCCCCTGTTTCCCACTACCCCGTTCTTCGCACACTTAGTTACTGAATTTATCAGACTCTAATTTTATTAATCCATTCTTTAGCACCGGAACTACCGTGGGGCATTTGTTATTGGCACACATGTATTGAATTGGTGGCTTTACAAGGAAGATGAATTTTTCTTTAAAGAAGATGCCAACATTGTAGAGGAATAGTTCCTCTGGGTACTCTAAAAGTATCTTGTCTGTTGTAGCAGCTCTCTGTAGGAGCTCTTTTCTGTCTACAGATCTTTTGACAAAGATGTCAAATCAGACAGGTCTTTCCCCAGTGCATTCCTCTTAAAACATGAAGTTTTTAACAATAATGTAGTAACTACTTTTTTCTTTCTTTTTATTTTTTTAATTTAGCGTATTCCAATTTACATTTGAGTGGATGTGAGGTTCAGTCAGTGGGACTTTACTATATGCTCAAGTACAAGGAAAGGAAATAGTTTTTCTGTGCTAAGA